ATCGGGAAGGGCAACGCTCTGCCACCTGCAGCGAAAGGTGTCATCTGTGACATCGAAGTGGGAAACGCGAGGCCCGTCGCACAACGCGTCCGGAAGATCTCATCGCAGTTTCGCGAGAAACTAGCCGATCTGATCCGAGGGCTTCTCAGCGCGCGTATGATCCGCCCGTCGAAGTCACCTTGGGCTTCCCCCATCGTCGTCATCGTGAAGAAGAACGGCGTCGACATCAGACTCTGTGTCGATTACAGATTGGTCAATGGTCTTACTCAGCTGATGGTGTACCCGATGCCACTGGTCACGGACCTCTTGGAAGACTTGGATAAGTACCGATGGTACTGCTCCAGTAGTGCCTATGACGGACCGAGCCCGTCTCATCTCTGCTTTCGTCACGCCGTTTGGGCTGTTCGAGTGGTTACGCATGCCATTCGGTCTGGGCAATGCACCGCAGATATACCAGCGGTTGATAGACAACGCGCTGTACGGGTTTTGGAAGCTGCCCCCGACGGAGAATACCCGCGATGTTTTCAAAGACGGCATCCTGTCTAAACCTGGAACGAGGTCCGTTTTTAGTCGGCGGTCGTACATTGATGATATCCTGATCGGGGTACGAGGTGGGACGACCTTTGCAAAAAGGTGGAACGTCTCTTGGAAGTCTGTGAAGAATGGGCGAGTTGAACTACAGCATCACGGAGAAAGAGATCCTGGCACTACTACGCGTCCTGAATGAATGTCACAACATGATGGCGGGAAGGACGTTCCGTGTTCTAACCCGACACACGATCTCGGGTGGCTTTTCCGCTCCAAGGGTCTTCAGGGACGACTTTCGCAATGGGCGGCTATCCTCTCACCATGGAGGTTGGAGATTCTCCGATCCGTAAAAGGAGAGGAAGAAATCCTAGGCGCATTGGCCGCGAGCATCACGTCGAGAGCTTACGTCGACGCTGCCCTAGAGGAGATCGCACCGCGAAAACGCCCGTTTAGGACGGCCCCGATCCCGGTTCCAAAGATCGGACCGGCCGAAAGTCTACACGTTATTATCTTCGATGGATCTGCTCGCGTCAAACGCGAGGGAGGAGCGTTCAGCGCCGTAATTTGGAAACTACCGAACTGGGACGTGGTTCGAGCTGCATCGGCATACGTGGAAGGGCTCACCGTGGACGAGGCCGAATACCGAGGCATGCTGCTCGGTATCTCGTTATTGGTCGACCTCGACGTTGCGCGACTGATCGTCTGCGGGGACTCCAATCTGGTAATACGCCAGATGCGGGGCGAGATGGACTGCAAGTCGCCCGGGCTGCGAACGGGGCGGCAGAACGCATGGTGCAGACCGTTACGAGAGCCATCAAGATGTATATTGCCGACATAAATCAACGCGACTGGGACCAATACGCTGAACGACTGACGTATGCGCTTAACACAGTTCACGATCGAACGAGGGACGAGACCCCGTTTTTTCTCGTGTACGGCTGGGATCCGCGGTCCACGTTAGAAGCGACGTTAGCCGTGGGGAAAACTTCGTATCGGGACGCAGAGGTTTGTCGGTGGAGGATGCTTATTCAACGCCACTACCCGATACCACGCGCACAATCCTTGGAACTGGTCCGCGAGGCGGTGGACGCGAGGGCGGCGCGTCAAAATGCGCACGCCACGGAACACGCGATAGAACGGGGCTCACGAGTCTGGCTGTATCTAGATCGAGTCAAGCCGGGATACGCGCGGAAACCCGCGCACATGTGGCACGGGCCGTTCCGCGTCGCGGAACTGGTTAGCGCGTACGCCGTACGCCTAGAGACTCACGGAACTCCGTATCCAGGGAAGTCGTTAAACTAGTTAGCCCGTTGGATGGGGATCCAGAACGCGCCAGGCTTGAGCGACCCCAAGGATTGTGCGTCTTAGCGTACGTCGGAAGA